AATAAAAAAGAGGAATCAATATTGCTCTATTCTTCATAACTAAGGAACTTCAATCAGGTTAAATTTTGATATAGCACACAAATTTTACGTTAGTAAGAAATTTTATTCTAACAAGTATCTGTGAATAATATGTAAAATTGCAAAGAATGGCAGTATAATGGTGCAAATGTTTTGCAGATAGCATTGGATACAGCTGAGTCTTGGAGTGCATGTTGCTATTTGGATTACATGTTGCCAAACCCCCCCAAATTTGACACCTTCAAAGGGAGTTTGGTAGAAAAGGCTAATATAGAAGATAGCTTAATTTTGTGCACATATGAAACACATTTTTCTCAAGTTCCAAAAACCAAAAGACCAAATCACTGGCTCAATGAGCAGACATAGAAAACAAACCAACACTTCAATGCAAGCTTTTCACCGAGTTCGTGACAAGAAGAGAAGATTCTAAGCACTTTCACGTCCAAAACATTTTGGTGTTACCAGGAAAACAGCCCAGTCAGGTCCTCTTACGGTGGCAGATACTTGATGCTCATACGAAGATCACCATTACAGAATTGGGACGTGCACAAATACTGTAAAATCCACATCTCCAGCCATTCAAAATAGAAAAACCACACAGGGTTTGCCAGCACTCACCGGGAATGGAGTGGACTACACAGTTCAGACAGTGCAAGATAACAGCTCCATCGGGCAAAATAACAGCTAACACAATGCAAGAGATTACAACCACATGTCGAATAAAGAGATACTCAAATTCCAGGAACTTAACTTGGACAACCGAGTACACCATTCGAGAATCAAAGATTTTGGAATAGCTTGTTAATAAGTCACAACCGTCTCTTAAAGTAATCGCATCAAAAGAGCGTAGATATCTCTCACATTCTCCATTTGAGAGATTATGGGGTTCATAGAAGTCGGCATCCAACTTTCATAGTTCCGGGAACATGACCTCCAGATCTTATACCACACAGTAAGACTTAGGGCAGTTCACTGTCAAAAGGATTGTTGCAGGAGCAGTTCATGAATGCAAATGAGTTTGAGATTAACTAGACTCATGGGAAGTGGAGAGGAGAACTGGCATCGATGAACAGAACTATTAACAGGAGCTCTATAATTGGGACTCTATTGGCATCTGTGTTGATGAGGCAGCTTGAGCAGCACGTGATAACTCCAAGACCGACTTCGTGCAAGTATTTCATTTACCTCGCCGTGTGTTTGCTGTATTCTCAAGGTTACAATCTATGTTAATAACTTTCATGGCAAGTGACTTACTTGGCAATTGTTATTTCAATGCATGGAGAATAATTTTGGTAAGATTTATCTTCCTACGGTGGGTAGAATCTGTGGTAGAAGATTTGCACTAAAAGAAGGATACTGAGTATGTCATACCTTTCGATGTAAAAGACTTTCTTTCGAGTCCTTGATGTTGTGCACCAGTTCTTCATGTTGCATTGTTCACTCTTTCATGAGGGTCTCAATGTGTGTGGTTGCTACTAAATAGATAAGTGGAGATTCTAAATTTCTGCATTTCCACAGGGTGATTATGTATTTTCATGGATAGGGTCCACCAAAGGGAGTAATGAAGTCGTCTATGAGGATTTATCTTCTAATCTGATGCTCAAGTATCTTTGTGACTACCCTTTCAAACCACCCATGGTTAAGTTTTTCATACTTTGCTTCTATTAGAATGTGGACCAACTCAAAAATATCTACCTAGACATTCTACAGGTATTATCAGGTCGAATTGAAGCAAAAAAATATGCATCACATGAGCCATTGAACTAAGGTGTGCAAACAGTGCTTTGGATTCAAACGTTTCTGGGTGGTATGCACGACTATCTCAGTAGCTATTGTAATAACTCGTGAGAAATGAGAGGGTGGTAAGATGTCAGGTAGTGACAAGTACATAAAATGCAATTCGCAGGGCCGAGTACCGATAGATTACTAGACGACTAGGCCGTAGCACTTTGGGTAATCCAGTTTTGTACTAAACAGTTGGGAGTTGTAAATTGCAAACAGAAGTTGCCACGAGCATGAATGAACTTTATGAGGACAAATTCATTGCTAATCCGCAAAATTCATCATTTAGTTGCGGTTTTCATCAAAGAGAAGTGAAAGATGTAAAATTTTGAATAACAGGTGAATCAAGTATCACATGTAAATGTTTCAATAAGAATAGACAGAAGAGTTTTTTATATGTATTCGTTGTATTCTTCACAGACGGTAACGGATCTTACACCTGTAGTAAACACAGCCTTCCTAAGTGATGAGAAGTCATCGTGCAACATTTTGTCGTATAATTGACGACAGGAAGATATGAGCTCATCAAAATTATTGCGCACAAAGCACTCAACCCAAATGGAGAAACACAACTTTCAGGCAGATACAGCATATAAGGCATCAAGTGTGTACGTAATGACTTCATATGGTTGCGACTTTCTACTCAAGGAATCAAATAGGAGGGTGTCGCCCGCCCGTTTTTATTTGTCTTATTAACAGAGATTTAGATACACATTTACAGTACCAATGACACTATATAGTACAAGTATTACCGCCAAGTTCATATTCTAGTTCTCGGGGGTGAAGTTGGTGGTGTATGCCCAGGCGTTGTTGGTACCGGGATCTGCAAGATAGTCGCTCAGGTTCTCCAAGGGTCTCTTTCCAGTGACGATAGCCTGAACAAAGAATCCGAACGTGGAATACATTGTCAAACAACCGTTCTTGATCTCCTTCACCTTCAACTCAGCGAGATGTCGAGATCATTGGCTAAATATAAGGGATGGAAAGAGCCACCTGGGTAAATTGGATCGGTCACCTCACCCAAAGGTCCACCAGCAACACGGTACTTCTCGACGGCTCCCATGAGAATCACCTGACAGGCCCAAAATGCTTTGAGCGCTCACAAGTCTTGAGTTGCCGAAGAGGTCACTGAAGATCTGAGATGCGGCATTGAACCACACAGCCTCGCCAAACTTCATACCATTTTTGGCCAAAAGCATAGGAGTAGCACGACCCAATGCTTCAAACCTGGCCAAACGAGCGTGAATAACCTAAACCTGCCTGTTGCGGGCGAAGGTCTCAGGATCAGAGGAAAATCCTGTAGTGTCGCTAGCAGTGGCCGGTGTGGTATGAGGGGGTCTCACCAGAGGAAGGGCCCTGATGCACGGGTCTGTCGGCGCGCCACTTGTACAGCATGGATAAGTTTCAGACATAAGGATTGAGCAAATTAAGCGTCGAATAATTGACTACGTTGAGTACCACACAGACAGAGAATCAATGTTGATATACGCAGTGATGCATGTATTGTTATATGCTAATATGAGGTGGACCAAGACTTCTAAGTGGTTGCACTGGTATGAGATCTTATACCGTCTTATCATTCCAAAATATAACGTTGGCTCCTTTTGTATATCAAAGGTCAACTCAGATCCTTCATGGTAAGAAGTGTAGAAATGTGGAGTATTCGTGAACAATGGACATAGATCTTTTTACGTGAGCCGAAAACCGTAGGACTGAAATATGCAATGTACGTAGGGAAATCTTATTGTATGGCATTTTGTGAGGCGATGTTATTTTCAAAAGGGCGTGTGTCCAAGAAACTCTAATGGTCAATCTTCTTACAAGTGATATAATGATAGTTCAAGGTCAATATTCACAAAGAAAATATATTGATAGTTTGTGCGAGACTTAGACCGTGTCAAGATCAGAAGGTTTTCAGAGGGGGCAATACATTCAAAGATCAAATTGTTGTGTTACAAGCAATGAACATGGTCCGGGTCTATATGTTTCGTTGTTAGTGAATCCAGTAGCATATCACACATTTTGTGTAATTCTCTGATAACACTGCAAAATAAGGGTAGAATATCTTCTTCTGACAGTTGCTGTTTTCTGGTTTTATCTGCAGTCTCTTTCAACATGGCTGCAACCATGAACTTCTCTGCCATGGCCGGGCAGAGATTGGTCAAGCTTGTCAATGAGCTCAAGACAACGATTTGGATTTGGAATGGATTGCCCCATCAAGAAACATTTTTATCTTAACGTGGTTCATATATCCCACGAACAATAATTATATCACTTGTAAGTAGATTGACCATTAGAGTTTCTTGGACACACGCTCTTTTGAAAATAACATCGCCTCACAAAATGCCGAACAATGAGACCCCTTTACGTACATCACATATTTCAATCCTACGGTTCTCGGCTTAACCAAAAAGATCTGTGTCCATTGATTATGGATACTCCACAGTGCTACACTTCTCACCATGAACGAGCTGAGTCGACCTTAGATACACCAATGAAGTCGACGTAACATTTTGGAATGATGAAGACGGTGCAACCAGTTAGAAGTCTTGGTCCACCTCAAGTTAGCATATAACAATACATGCATCGTGTCACATTTGATCATGCTCAGAAATCAACTTCGGAGCGCTGAGTTGATGTAATAACTTTTAACAAAATCATAATATCGATAATGATCTTCAAGTCACACGTAAAAAGTTAGCATCGCTAGAAGACACACCTACACATTTCTAGCGTACCATATCTCACAAACTACAACTTCAAGATCATCACAGTTGAAAAATTTAGTGATATGTGTCTCAAAGATATCACATATCACAAACACTTCCTTAGGGCATGTTGCTTCAACACAGGCACAATAGCTACGTCAGGAACCTGAACCCAAAAGAATACAGTGTAGAAGACGAGAAGCACACTAATTAACCAATCTCAATGAAGTGGACCCCACGCTGCTTTCCAGATGTAAGAAATCAAAGTATAGAACAACACAAAAAGATAAAGATCTGAATTCATATTGGCATGGTCAATCTAAACAGAATATATAAACATATACATATACACACACGACGACGACGACAATAATAGCCAAACGCGATAAATCAGCACCATACTTCCACGAAAGCAAGTAGAGCAAACAATTCAATCAAATTACCACACATTTGTATTCCATCCAACCATTCTGAAACCCCTGCACCATATCAATCACTGAAGTTCTCTGACACAACCTCCACATTGGAGCCAAATTTTAACCAAATTTCTCGAAGTCACATACATTGCGGTTCATAAGTCGATCCTTCACCGCGAATGAAACAAAGCCTAAAGGCTGGAGATCATCTACCTTGCACTCTTGTGAAGTTTAAAACCAAAAATTCTCGGTGTGTAACTCTGAGTCGGCTTTGAAGGCTTGATGTAGGGGTATGTCATCAGAAACAGATGTGGAAATGTAGTGCCAAAATATGCACCGTCGATGTCTGTAGTTAAAGTTAAGTTTTTCAACATAGGCCTGATATAAAACATTAGATATTCTAGACATGAATTCGTACAGCTATTAAGAATATGATACTGGTCATAACAGTCAATCCATCCACGGTAAGTATGGAAACCTCTAAAAACTATGCACGATACAGTTTCTCGAAAGAAATGCCAGCTAGATTAATAAATAACTAGTATATGTGACGTATAAAACAAAAATCAACCACAAAACAATTTTCAATTGAAAAGGATACTGCCCTGATATTTTGATCGAGGGTAATATATGTCTTCACACTTTGGACAATATATCTTCACAGTACTTGTTCGAGGAACGTCTGACTGACCCATGGGCAAACACGGTTGTCCAGAGCAGTAGACACGAGGACATCGACCAAAGTCAACATTCTTACATTTTTCAAGCTGCGCAACAATGTAGAATCAGAAAAATAGTATGTGAAGAAAAAGACTTAAGGAAACAAAACTAACTTCATCGTCTTATCAATATATCTTGAGGCAGAAGGCATATCAAACCAAGATAGGAAATGTACCATTGCATTCATTCCTTTGCTGGTTAAGATATAGCGGACGTGGATCAACCCATACAACATCTCGGCAGCGGACTCTACCAATTCATTCTGCTCCTCAGTTAGCATGTCATCTATATTTGCAGAGACATAAAACACACATCCTTGTTCAGTAACGGAATGTTGGCAAACAAACCAAAAATTTCACTTTTACAGTAAAACTGCACTGAAAATATACGACCAGTACGAAAAGATTGACACTGTATTCTTTCGAGTACCATACGTTTAATAATGCCTGCAAAAATGAATCGAAGAAAACTTATACTACAGTGAACTCAATATACAAGCTAATTCCTTCTATGTCTTATATAAAAGATAACCAAGCAGTAACAAGAGCTAGCTCACATTCAAAAGGAATGCATCTACAGAATTTGAGACTTCTAATGCGAAGCGCCATGTGAAGAAATTAACCACTTGACTAGAAAAGTTTTTCAGCCCATAAAAAAGTAGACGTTGAACAACTTAATCAAAGGGTTGAACGATGAAAATCTTACCACTAGGGGATTCCACATCCAAGATCAGGTCAAGCGCATAATCATAATAGGGAACTTGACTGCTTAAGCCGCTTAGATTGAAGTCGTCCTGAATGTACTCATCATCAACCTCGCAGAAAAACTCATTGCCCCTCAAGCCGCAGAACCAGGAGATCCAAGAAGTATCCTCTCCATCAGATGCACTCACATCAGAATCCTCGCTTTCCGACTCTGAGTCCTCTGCAGCCACTACATAGACAATCGCCTTGGACTGTAAGCAGGTGATTGCGTTTGAAAGTGAGATGCAATGAGTATTTCCAGCCTCACGGGTTAGTTCAAATCAACAACAGTAAAGAGTGGAAAATAATATACAAGAAAGAAATGCTAAGACAATAGTGGGGCGTAAAGCTAATACAGATTAGAAGGAAGTGCGAGGCAATCAAAACTCTCCGAGGAGCAAACATAGAGAGGACTACAAATAAAAACTGCCCCTGGGAATGTAATAAGACAGGGTGGAGTATAAGAAGGCAGGGGAGGGTATCTAGCAAATTCAGCACGCAGACCTTCAGTTCCTGATGATTAAGGAAAACACAAACCATGTAACAGACGCTATTCCTATAAATGTCTCATGACTTACATATGCAGTAGGAGAGAACGGATTTCAACTGCAAGCTCTCAATTCAAGCCAGACAAGAGATAAGGCACAGATATCGAAACAAAGTAGATTCTAAGCACAAAAAATTGGATAGAATTGAAGATGAATTCATGAAAGTTCGTGTGAGGCAGCCTGCATGCAAACTGGATAGTACTATGCAAGTAAGCTTGCATCAGGAAAGCTCACCATCTTCTGGATACTTAGCCTTCTCCAGAGTGGGCCTCGCCTCAAGTGCAGCGTTGCGACTGGTTTGAGTCTTAGAAGCGGCGGCAGCTATTCGATCTTTCTCCCTGCCAATTAGTCCTTTAGAGGTTGAAGGAGGTTGAAGGAGTGGAATTCCACCCTCGAATCGTTTTTTGTTGTCAGTCACGTCGCGGTACAATTCGCCCCTCACATTCCCACCTCTAGCCTCTGTTGCCAGAGATGAGCTCCGATCTTTATACATATTCTCTTCCGGGTGAAGGTGTTAGCAATGCTTCTTACACCTCCAAAAGAAGAGCTGCTGCACCTCTAATAACCAAACACATGTCAGAAAACTGCAGCTTTACTTGCTTCGCTCAAATATTTGTACAGATGCAGCAGATCTTTGCCATGAAGGCACAAATATCATCTATAGATCAATGTCACGAAAACAGAAGGTAATACAACCGCAGATTCATCAGCACCAAACTCTAGAAGAATTCAAAAACGCCGTCAACAGAAGGAACCAGGTCAATTCACTCCGCCATTTGTAAATTGCTCTTCAGTCAGGATCTCTACAGCACTAACAGCCCCTCTACTTACCCCTGCACTAGCCCACTCCACCAGCCTTCTGCGTTTTTCTCCCTTGTAGAATCCAAACTCCTTTACATACCAACCTCTCCAGCATCCTCGCCCTCCCTTAACCCTAACCCGAACGCTTCACAAAGCTCCTCAAATCAACCCTACACAATAACCCCGCACATCCAATCCCAACCTCCCCAACCCCAATGAATCAACAATCTCAAACCTAGAATACATCAACCGCCCCAACCCAGCTCAAACCCTCTTAAGAAACGAAGAACAACTAACCTATAAAAATTTAGAAAAAAGGCTTGTTTTGAAAATAATAGATGAATATTCAAAAAATTCGAAAATTCGAACGACAAACAAGCCATTCGAATTACAATCGCTCCCAACCAAGTGAAAACCCTGAACCCACAACAGCACAGAGAAACCACAACCCTAAAACGCGTCCCACCTCAGGATCAAAATGGATGGCGGGTTCGGGTGACGTCTGTCTTGGAAAGCACCCGAGGGTGGCTCTGAAGCTGTGTTGGGATTTGAGCAGAGAAGAAAGAGAGAAGTGGCCCTCGTGCCAATCCCAACCCAGAATGGCCGCGACGGCAACGGCGGCAGAGCAGCACCAGCAACACCAGCAGCCGACCCGCTCCCAGGAAAGCGAAGGCTAGTGGGAGAGGGTGGGGGTGGGGTGCGGGGAGAGAGAGAGAGCGCGCGAGCGAGACGGGTATAGTGGCTGGCTGCTGAGTAAGAGAAGAAAGAGGAACGGAGAAGAAGAAGAAGAAGAAGAGCAACCAAAAGAAAAGAAACCCAAATACAAAACAAAAAGACGCGGGAAGGAGGAAGTAGCACAAGAGAGGAGGACGAGGAGGAGGAGCAGAAGAAGCAGACAAGATGCTCCTCCCTCCCCCCGCCCTTCCTTTGCCATGGCCGGGCAAGGGAAGGGCAGGGGAGGGGGCGGGCAGGGAGGGGGCTGTAAAGTGGCGAGGATGCCCTGGCTGCCGTGGATTGGGTGGGGGGAGGAGGAGCGTATCCAGCGGTGGGCAGGGGGGAATAAATAAGTGAATCAATCAAGCACAGGGTGGGGTCGGAGGAGGCTGCACTCTTCTCTCTTTCTCTCTTATCTCTCTTTCTGTCTCGCTCTCTTTCTTTCTGAGCATGTATGTGTCGGCAGCGATATACCTCTCTCGCTCTCTCTCCTCCCCCTCCTCGTAACCCACTTCCGTCTCTCTGTGTGTGTGTGTGTCTGGATAGTCAGTCAGTCTGTTTGTCTGTCGGTGTCCCATTCGTTCGTTCGTTCCCCCTAGCTGCTGCTCGTCTCTCTCCTCTTGCTGCTGCAGCTGCTACTGTAGCTTCCTTCCTTCCCCGTTTGTTCCTCCCCTCACCTCGTTCCCACTCTCTCCTTCGCCAGGTACACTATAGTTGTTGTGTGGTCTATATTCTACGTATTTGTATGGTGTATGTATAGTATATAGTGGAAGTTGTCGTTACTGGATAACCTTTATTACAAGATTTTATAATAACTAGAAAATATTTTTTTCAGTTTTTTCGTTATTATAAATTTGTGTCACACCATGCTTTCATAAAAATGAACTAGAAAAAGTGAAAATAATTAGATTATGCTTTTTTAAATTTATGTCTTTACTATGTTTTTAATTGGTTTATATACATACACATAATAAAAAATTATAATGATTAATGAATTACTTCCTTGAAAATTTTTAAAACCCAACAATCTTTTAATGTATAAAACTTTTATCAAAGTATAGTTTATTAGTATATATAATAAAATATTCAATATGGCTAATTATTGATTATATCTATGTATAACTATAAAAGTAAGATAGAAAACACAATAGTTTAAAAAATTTAATACTATAATTATTCTAAAATTAATACATAATTTTAAAGAGATATACATATAGTTTATTTTAAATATTATGAATCATTTTACAATCAAATTAGGTTTGAGTAAATACTATAAATTCATTGTAACCTTAACTACTAATTTCAAATACATATTTCCAAATATATTTGTAATAATTATGTATAGTATTTTTTGAAGGATTTAATTTTTTTTTACTGTAAAATCTTTATTAGCTAATATACATGTAATTGCTTAAAATTTTGCATGATTACAAGACATATTCTTTACTATTTATATTTTTATTAGATGTATTTTATTAAAAATATCTTTTATAACTAAATTTTAAAAATACTTCTTGAAATTTTTATTACCATTATTTTATATTTAACTTTAAAATATTGCTTAACCCTTCAACGACTATACTTCAATGACTATTATTATAAGTTCAAATGTCCCTCACATATTAATATACAAGATTTTAGCATAGAGTTTAAACTTTATTCTATTGTCTTTTCAAATCAAAAAATATAATCTATTTATTTATATATTCCTTTAATTACTAAATATTTGTAAACAAGCTATTGTCATTTACTTCAATTAATACAATTATAAGTTATAGTCTCATTTCATAATTTATATATATATATATATATATATTTGTTTGTTTGTTAAGTGCACCTAAGTTGCTACATGAACACATCATATTATTATATGCACACCACAAAAAATTAGATGCTTTTGATTGGTTGAATATTGTTATGTAAATCCTACCACGTGAAAGAAATGCAAAGAGGTTACAAGGGGCGGCAACCCCTTTGATTGTCCTAGTGCCTAGTCAATGGATATGGTCAAGGGGCCTCCATGAATAGAGCTCCCTGGAAAACTAAGTAAATAAATAAATAAATGTGTCCTTTGTATTGGTGGTTCTTTGGCAATTTTCATAGATCACTAGTGATAGATGTTTTTTTTTTGGCACTTGTTATTAAAACCTCTATCTTTAGTGCACTCTCATAAGCATGCACTATCAAGGTATCTTTCATTTCATCTTTCAAGCCCTTATTGCCTTTCTAAAACCTCAATGTTGAAGCCAAGAATAAGAATTTCCCACCAACTCTTTGAGTGAGTAATTGTTTTGTTTTACGACTTTGATACAAGTAAATGCATTGATATCACATAGATATGCAATTTTTGAGAGTATTTTGAGTTGTTATAGTAGTGGAGCTTCTAAGAATTGCATGTTGATTTGTTTTTGTGTATGCATGTAGTTTCTTGCTTCAATTGCAATTGTTGTAGATAGAAAATAATATGTGAGTCAAATTCCTTCAAAGTCTAGATTACATTTTCTAGCTTAGATTTTATCATATATTATTGTTTTAAAGAAAGGTGTGTAGAGAAGTAATGATTATCGTCTTGTGAAGAGAATCATATGATTTGTCAATATTTGCCTTACAAGCCTCAAGGTTTGCTATTGGAATCACAATATGAATTGCAATACTCAGTTAAAAATTCTTTTTTGTCTTCTTATCTTCTTACAACAAGCTTGAGATAGGCTTCATATACTTCATCATTAAAGAAAGAAAAGCATGGTTGTTGGTGTAATTGTATATTTATATATAAAAAAACATAATACAATCTACTTTGTAACTATTTGTTTAACCTAGAATTCATTCTAATCTTCTTATCCATCTCCACGTCCCATGTTTTAAGTAGAATTTCATCACCAGTAAGATGCTCTTGAATTTGAAATTTTCAACTCCAACTCAAATAAAAAAATAAATATACAAATATATTTAGTTATTAGCAATTTTTGTCAAAGCATGATTGGGTTTTGTATTTGCTCTCGTGTGTTGTGACAGTGTGAAAGGCGGTTAAAAGATAAAAATATATTCCGATGTATGTGTATATATATATATATATATATATAGGGATATATACATTAGATAAATAAGACAATATAATACTGAATGCCACTAGTCTCAACGAACTGTGTAAGTTCCCACATGGGAACAAGACCATCGCCACCAGTTCCGGACGTTCCCACCTCAGAATTCAAATGGCGTGCGTTCCCATATTCGAGAACAAAGCCCTAACCTGAGATGGCGGGGGAAGTGGGAGTGAGCGCGGGGAGTGTGGTGGGAGCGCCTGTCTCTCCCGCCAAAACTCCACTCCCTCCCTCCCTTCATGCAGTGCCGTTTTCTACGAATTGTACCGACCATTGCACGGGGTTGGCCTTCCGTGAATAATTTCTGTAGATTGCAGGGAATCTTAGTTGTGATCGCATTGTTCTTAGTTGTGCGAGCTCTCTCACGGGGGGGATTTGTGGATACCGGCGCTGCCGAGAGTTTTTTCAGTATTCGGATCTCGTAGTTTGGATTTCGGATTTGTGATTTCGAATCATGCGTGTTTCGCTTTTGAGAGGACATGACGTTTATAGCGGTGGAGGGTGCTAATAGATGGATGCAGCTCTGGTTGTGTGAGTTGTGTGACGAGGTTCTTCTTTCTAGAAACTTGTAATTTTTGTCTCGTGACCTGCAGTTTTTTCAAGTTTGGCGGATTACAGCGCTGACTTGTTGTCGTAGACGAAATGAGTAGATGACACCACTAGGCAGCTTTGAAATTGTTACATTATTTGGCCGGCGGAGTATTCCCGTCTACTTTAATTAGCAATTACTTCAATTATTTCAATTGAGACTGTGGGATTACACTCTATATGTTTTTCCCCTAGGACCCGCCTCAGCGCAATTATCGTTGCTCATCGCACTAGCTCTCTTACACTGTAGGCATCTCGCCTGTCGTTTTCTGTTTATACTGAATTCCTCAGAGGACCGAGGGGTCTGATTTTATTTAATTATTATTTTAAAATTTCTTCTTCTGTTTTCCTTTGGAATGCCATCGTAATGGATTCATCCTTAGGGGGCGCAACATGATCTGCAGCTGTAATTCTCTCATCTTGACACTGAAGACTATGATTGTGCTGGCCGAAATGCCCACAAATAATTGTGAATACGTGGGATTTTTTGGTATGTTCTATATCCATGACCCTATACAAAGTGGTTCAGAAATACGTTTGTGCATCCAACATCAAGATTTGTTATCTACATTTGTGAACGCTTCGTTGGAAAGGAAATTTTGCGATGATTAATTTTCAGGCATGGGAAGACCAAGACCCTCGAGAAAGCATCTTGAATCTGTGATGGAAGGAACACTGTCTATGGGGTTTTTATAGAAGCAACATTAGCAGAGAAGCTCAATGCTTCGCAGAAAAGCATTGAAAGTTTCCCTACAAGCCTGTGCACGTAACTTGGGATTATATTTGATGTCCATTTTACAGTGAATCTGTTTGTTAACATCATATTTTTAGATTCATATAAGGATTGCTCATTTCGAAGCGCAATTCTCTTGGAAAGCTTGACTTGCTTCAGCTCTCTCCCATAGGTGCATATTTCACCGCAAGAAGGCGAAGGAAATTGTAGACACCTGGACTTCATAGTTTCAAGGCTCCATAGAGGAGCAGCGTGTACCTGTTTTTACATATTTAGCTAACCACATTCTGCAGATTAGTCGGCGGAAAGGTCCAGAGATTGTGAGCGCGTTTCACACTGTTCATTACGGCCTACTTTAATAGCCAAGTTAGAAGTTCAACCCGCACTATGCCACTGAGAATGCCAATTCAAACTTCCAGGTTTACTGAAAGTGTTTGCGGACAGAACAATCGCGGATGCAACAGACCAAGACTGTGCCGCATCGATGGACTTCTGAAGTAACAAATGCCGTTGACTACCGTGTGGGAGTAGCACCGACCAGTCGTTCTCGTGTGAAGAAATCATCAAGCAGAGAGTACAACAATCAAGCACCAAGGTAGTTGGACACTAAAACCCATATATTTGTGTCAAGTGGATCAGAAAACCGCAAGAAACACCAATATTATCGAGCTCCCTGTAGAATCAATAGTGACGATCCAAGCACCAATCTCGGCACCGTCTTCAGCTGTAAGCACTGCTGCAGCGATTGCAGCCAACTCATCATCAGCTGCTATGCTATACTTCAGTACTATCATCACTGGCAGCAGACGAAGCCAACAGTGGCTCATAGTCACGCTAAATCAGTATGCCCCACGTTGTACACTAAACAATAGTTGAAGGATTTCAATCATGGGTTTCAGAAAAGGATTGCGATCAGAAAAGCAAGTTAACAGATTTGTGATTCGTTGAGCGGGACGCTGCAGAAATCTTATGAATTTGTGTTTACGACGAGGTTGTGAACACTCATCTTATGAATTTGTGTTTACAACCCCATCACCGCCCCCTTCGAGTCGCAAAGGGAGCTTGGAGTGTCGTCGGCTGCGCCTCATTCCATGGCCGAAAGCTGAGCTGAGAGAGAGAGAGAGAGAGAGAGATCGATTGTGTCGAATTACCTTTTCTTCTGGACCCGTGAATAATGGCATTGCCAGCGACATGGGTTTCGTGGCGAAGTTTGGATCCAGTTTCGTTACCCGCATGACTGACTGACTGACTGACTGACTGTGTCTGTTTGCATGCAGCTCCAGCTCCAGCTTCCTTGCTTTTTTGTTGCTTCGTGCCGAGAGCCTGCTGAGTCTGAATGCTCCCTGCTCTCATGAAATCTCACCGGTAGTGACACGTGGTTGTGAAGCTCGGCATCTTTACCTGGTCTGCAATTCCAGATGGGTGTGTGCTTACGACGAGGTTGTGAGTGTTCAGTTGGCCTCGCAGGATTGATTCTCTCTCGCTCGCTCTTTGTCTGTATGGCTGTCAAAGCTTGTACATGAAATTGCTCGTGGATTTGTCAGCCTTTTAGGGCTGTGTTTCTAGTTTGATGTTCTCTTTCGATGCTTAGGTTTGAAGGGAGTAGGTTGGGTGGAATGCTAGCTTCCGCGAAGTCCTCGTCGTGCGTAAGGCGTTTTTCGCAAAATCAGCTTTGTCTGTTCAGCAGGATCTGTACCATCACGGTACTACACTTACTCTCGATTGGATAATTCGGACAACGACGTGTGATAACTCACATGTTTGTTTGTTTGTTTGTTTGTTTTTTTAAAAAATAAAAAATAAAAATTGTAACCACTGTGTAGTTTCGGTTTGGCCTGCTTGTTAGAAATCATCGACCTTCAGGGTCATGTTCCTCTTTTGCTTGTCACTTCTTTGAGAACTCCAAATGTGGAAAATATGAATTTTAAGTTCGTATTAAGCTGGTTGGTTAGTATTCATGCATGGGTTTATGGGTGGGATCTGGTAATTTCACGTAGGCGTTGCTTCTCAGTCTGGTTGACATTGAACGTTGGCATCTTTAAACGCGAGGATAAACCTGGTGATCTGCAATTGAGCTCAGAATGTGCTCATTCTATTCTTTCATGCGAGCTGAATGAAAAAACTTGTGTGTTTTTGGTTTGTTTGCACAGGATTTCTCCAAGTTTGGGATAATAGAAACAAGCAATTTGAGTGCATTAGCAGATTCAACAACTCGTCCAGAAGTGTTTATGAGCCGACAATTTACTGTAAGCGTTTCTTTGATCGCAGTTTGAGTCTTCAAATCCACGTAATTGTATATATGCAGTGTTGTGTTTTTCTGAGGTAGTGTGTGGCATTTTCGTCGAAGATCTGTAAATCCTCGGTTGTACGACTCATGGGGTTGTTTGGTGCCGACACATGAATTCGATATCGAGAAATTTCAGTAATTGATTTGATTTCATGGCAACCGAAAAGCATCAAAATGCGCACATTTTTCTTATTCAAACCAAAAAAACAACGGTTTACAGGACTTCTTCTGTAATTGCCGTCATTACCGTTCTGATTGAGTCCAAGGCAAATGCTATCAGCTGGTGCAAGTTTAATTACTCATAGACGGGTCACAATGCCTAGCTTTCTATCGATCTGATGCGATGGCGTGAAACATTCAAGACCATATAATGTAAGGTATGAATTCTAAATGATGCGATTGTGCGGTAGGCTCAGTTTTTGTGACTTCGATGTGAAAACAACTTTGCTAATAGCGAAGTGGTCATTGTTCAAAGCAGAGAACAATGGCTAGCAGTGCCCCGTCGTGGAGGCTGCAGACAGGACAGTAGTGCCAGGACTTCGTGAGACTTTATGGAAACAACAAGATCAAAAAGTGACATTTCCGAAGCTACAGAAGGATGCGAGTTTTGATGTAATCGTAGTTGGAGCAGGCATCTCTGGGCTTAGCATTGCGTATAATTTGCTGAAGGCAGGGAAAAGTGTCATAGTAATCGAATCCCGAGTAGTTGGTGCGGCATGGCAGGCAGGTCGACGGCTCACATTATGCCTTGGTTCGATGACCATTATCACTTGGTGGAGAAATTTCATGGTTTCCAGAATGCTAAATATGTGGCTGACGGTTACACAAAGGCCATTGACTGGATTGAGCAGACTGTGAATGAAGAGAAAATCAACTGCAATTTTTCTCGTGTTGATGGATATCTCTATCCGCACGACGACTCCGTAGGTACTCGAGACAAGTTGCATAAGGTTTGTTAAATTCGACATTTCACTCTTAGGTATCTATGAATGGATTTTAATGTTAGAATGCGATTTATTACCCTCTCATATTGGCTGGGTAATGTGGCTTAACAAAGTACTAGATGTGATACACAGGAATTTGATGTTTGCAAGAAGCTTGGCCTCAACGTTGACATGGTAGATTTGGGTAAAGATCCATCTAGTGGAGGCATCGGCACTGCCATGAGGTTTCCGAATTCTGGACAATTTGATCCCATCAAGTAAGCTTCTGTGTAAAATTCCTTATTCAATCTGATTCTAAAAGTTCAATGTTGCGTTCTTGAAACCACTAATCGTGAATGTCATCGAAGCTTGTTGATTCTGAAACTGTCACATCAGGTATGTCAATGGGCTTGCCAAAGCCGTAGCTTCCAAGGGAGGGAAGATACACGAGACAACAAAAGTCGGCAAGATTGAGAACAATCAGGTGACCACGGAGGATGGGATTGTAGTGACAGGGGGAGATGTGGTTTTGGCTACATTTACACCACTTCATAGAGAACAGCTCATTCACTCCTTCCAGCAGCCGGAGTTATACTACGCCATTGGCCTCAAGCTACCAAAAGGATCTGTAAAGTAAGTCCAACAGGACAATGATTTTCAGAATTATTGTGTATGTTTTCCATAAGGACATATATTTGAAGGTGAATATTTATTTGGTTGCGTTGCTGACATACATAATCTCCGTGAACAGGAAAGCCCTGTGGTGGGACACAGCTACTCCATGTCACACTGTTCGGATTGAGGAGAAGGAGGATTATGACGTCTTACTCGTGGCTGGTGAGTATCACAACGCGGGGAAGAAATCTGTGGAATATCTTGATGCCTATTCCATCCTTGAGAAATGGGCTAAAGATCGGTGGACATCTGCTTGTGAAGTGATTTGCAAATGGACTGGTCAGGTGAGTATTTTGATTGATGTGAAAATTACTCTCGCTTGACAGATCACTCTGACAGAGTAGAACAAACGGAAATAGGTTTAAAAGCAATAAGACTACGCACGATTTAGTTCTGTAAATGTCCTCACGCAAGTGATGCAATCAGATCTGGGTGTCTACGTTGCAGGTTTATCAGCCCGTGGGCTATGTACCATTGATCGGGCCTGACCCGTTGGCAGGCAAGACTGGTGATTTAATAGCTTGGGATCAGCTTGTCGTCACGGGTGTGCATTCTTGACACACTATTCTATAACATTTCTTATTTGGGTTTATCCTATTTCTTGCGATTCTCATCTTTATATATATTTTTCTTAGAACTCTGAACACTAGAGTCTGCGAACTTTACACTCTGTGATGAAACACTTCTAATGTCTTATAAGTAGCCTTATGGACATGAATGAGCGTGACTAAACTTCAGGTTTTATGGAAATGTAGGCGACAGTGGACAAGGTATAACCTCTGGAACCATTGCTGGAATACTCATTACAGACATGATAACTAAAAAGGATAATCCATGAGCTGAAGTTTATTCTCCTAAAAGGAGAGCTAAAATCACCAAAGAAACTGTTACTGGCACTGGAGTTCGAATCTGGAACACCATTGAGGTTATTACTCCTTCTCTCCTCCCCCACTGCTTTCTAATTCTTCAGATAATCAATATATTCCTCACTTTCATAACATGATACTTTATAATTGAGTACTATCAGAAAATTGCAACTCCTTGCAGACACAACAAAGATCTATAAATATGATTTGTTATTGGTCGATTAGTCTATATTCGGAAGCGTACAAGCTCATATTCCTCACAGAAACTTTTTCGGGTGCAGGGCATCAAGGACTTGCTGCCATTCGCAGGTTCAGACAGTGTGGATATCGAAGATCTTGCCCCTTGTGGCGGGTGCGTTGTTCAGTCGGGTGCGAGAAAAATGGCCGTCTACAAGGACGAGAAAGGCTGTCTACACAAGTTCTCAGCTATATGTCCCCATTTAGGATGTGTTGTGAAGTGGAACCCAGTTGACGGTGTCTTCAACTGTCCTTGCCATGGATCCATCTTCGATCACCATGGAACTGTGATCAATGGTCCTGCCAATGATAACCTTGCCGCATTAGATTAGACTGTATCCCAAATTCAAATATTGGCACATAATGTACTTACCCCGTTCGCCTTGACCTTGTGACGTTGACTCGTGATAATAAAATAGGGAAACCACTGTTTGTCGGATGCCTAGATCTCAACATCACGAGTTACTGGAATATAACCGGGCATCGGTTATATGTTGTGATGTAAATTGTAAGTAAAATGTAGAAACTTTCTCAGTGAGTGTGAGTTATGTTGTTGTGTCAGTGTGTGCCTCGAAAAGTGTAGAAACGCACCCTCTAGAGCGTTATCAGAATTCTTACTCATATGCGTTAAAGCATTGGATACTACTTGAATGGTACGTTTTACTGAACAGATCGTGTAGAGGGTGATTAGTTTTGGTATGATCTTCACAACGGTGGACTGTAAACGAGTTATTCTTGGCTCTTACAAGCTTGTTGTTAGCAGATGGTTTTGAAGTTAACTTAGGACATATTTGCTCCTTGGTGGATTTAAAAAGCTTGATTGGATTTGTAGAGCATCCGAAATGTTGCTGATAATCAACGTTTGACAACGATATTTCAATTTGCTACATTAGGATGAGCACAATGAAGGAGATATTTCAACCACCTCGGTTTCAAGCCTTTCCAAGTTTTGAGCATTGCATTTAGATGTATTACTTTACAATTGTGAAACAAAATGAACTTTGTACATACAATTTATTCTATTAGTTTGATAAATTTTTGGCAAAAAAAATGTTCAAGTGTGTGTTACTTTTTTTCTATAAAGTTTTTTGTAATTACGCAATGATGAAATAATGAATACTAATAAAAATTTCTAGACAACCATACTCATCTTACAAGGAATTTAGTACAAATTGAAATCTCATCGAATATAGTTATGAAATCCTTGACTAAACTCAGGTAAAAATATTGACTTGTTCAGAATAAAAAGATTAAGTTTTAAAGTTTTAATAGATACATACATGAGTAGTTGTGTATATATATAGTTGCTCTGCAATAAATAAAGAATTAATTCAAATATATAATTCAATTGGTTAGAATACACTCTCTTTAGACACTAATTTATGAATTATCAAGCAACAAAAATTTAGGACAGTTACAGTGGATTTATAAAAAAACAAAAAAACAAAAAAATAAAAAATCACAAGCTAACATTATTTAACAAGTCCAGTAAAATTTTCAAACGAAAACTATGAATTTGGTTATTGTTTCCACCAATCGAAATATCTCTGCTACATACCTACATTAAGAAGTTGCTTAAAATGACAACGCGGTGTGCAAAAAATCAAGAACATATCAGTACCGTGCAAAATTATTCAAAAATTTCTATATACACCTATTATATATATAGTAAACTATTATGTCAATAAAAAATTCAGCTTAACATAGAATACAGGCTTTCTAAAAACTGATGTAGAATAAAAAGATGTCAAACAATGGGAGGGTTGCGAGAGCAGCAGAGGTTTTCTTATTTGGGGGGGGGGGGGTTCACGAAGGGATAACTCCTAGTGTAGGGTTGAAGAATAAGGATGGTGTGTACTTCTAATAAATGCTTGTGAAGCTGCATATCTCGTCATACTTGGTTGAACTCCTGTATTCATCTCTTCCCAATCTTCAGTTCAAACGCAAAACATATCCTGGACTGAAATAGGGCTCTGTTAGTCTACAAAGGTCATGTTAATGACAGTACAGAGAAGCTTCAAATCATTATAGTTTCTTCCCTGCCAAATTAGACTAGTAATTTTGGGAGGGTTGCGAGAGCAGCAGAAGTTGTTTTTTTTTTTTTTTTTTTTTGGGTGGGGGTGGGGGTGGGGGAGTTGCACCATCGCAGTTGGGGGAGAAGAGGAAGGCGGGGATATGGAGGTGGGGGTGAGACGGGACTGGCACGACTATACTTGAACAGGATCTGTTCTACAGTCCGAACACCTGAACTCTGCTCTCCAACACGAACAAAACCTTCAACCCAGACGATGATTCAGGGCTCCCCGGCTTGAGCGCGTTTGCGCTGCACCGGGTGCTGTGCCAGTTACCAGTGGCCCTGCTGGACTCATGTGCGGGGTGGATGGGCTACTGTGTGTAGCCAGCAGCAGCTGCAGCATCTGCCAGATGAGCGTCCCGCCCTCTCTCATATTCATATTCCCGGGGGCGGTGATGGCCGGAGAGCGTTCTGACGGGGCCACCCTCCCCCACTCTCTCAATCCCTCCGCACATCTCTCCCCCTTTCTCTTCTACTACTTACTGCTTGTATTGTTCGTCGACGGTCTTGTTTGCGGGCGGGTGCCCAGGGAATCAGAAGTTGCCTAATATTATACGGTGTACTGAGATCGACATGAGCGTAGTCGCTTTGGCCGAGTGGTTAAGGCGTGTGCCTGCTAAGTACATGGGGTTTCCCCGCAAGAGTTCGAATCTCTTAGGCGACGATTGAGTGACACCTAGAAGCATGCATAAGCGTATGCATGGACTGCCGCGACTGAAACGCTCTCCCATTCTTTTTACTTTACTGACGCCCTTGTCGCCCTTGTTCTTGTCCCCGCCACTTCACCTCTTCTTCTCTTCCTCCTTCCTTTCCTTCTTTCTTTCTTCCTCCCCCTCCCCCCTCTCCTTTGCATCTTGTCCTGCAATACCACTCATTTAACTTCTCTCTTTCGTTTTTCCAACACACTCTCTCTCATTTATTCATAGTTCCATCCATTTTTCTATTTCCTCCAATCATGCACTTGGTTGTAAAATCTCTTCTTCTTTTGTATCTACATGTACATGAATAAATGGCTTCCTTCTTTGCAAGCCTGGCTTTACCAATGCATCACACAAAAATAAAAATTATAACATGTATGGCAAAGAAATTAAATTGAAAATGACATTACAACATCATTGTTTAGAAAAAGGTTTGTAATCAAATCATCCACCTCCACTCTAATCTAATCCAAGTTATCTAAATATAATTTCAAAAGCTGTGCTAATATCTAATGGAACGCTCATATTTAGTTTGTACTTCGAATAAATATAGAATGTAATACCTTCATAGGCATTTTAAGTATTTAATATATATTATTACTTATGCCAATGGCCATTTGATGCAATGAAATATTTGTAGTGCCTTTTTATATCATACACCACATTTATGCTAAACAAACAAATTCAATAAGTATATAATTAAGATAAATATAATCATTTTTGAAGATTTTGCATTAGTAGAAGTGGATCTTTTTAATTATTGGTTTTTTGTATGAAGTTTGCAATACATGCACATCATCATCATATATTGATTATAAGTGTGCCATTTTATACATACAAACATGCATTTATGTTGGTGGCATAATGTAATAAAGTTTTGGAGTTATAACAATATTGGAGATTATTTTTGAAATAAGTGGCAAAAGAAAATTGAAACAAAAGTGTAATTTAAAAATTTCATAGCCCAAAAGACATGCTATTTGATCCAAAGAGTAAAAAGTTGATATGAAAGATGAAAGTTTGACAAAGTGAATGGAATGTTTGATAAAAACAAAAGGAGTTCAAATAGCTACAAAATATAGAAAAAGCTAAATAATTTAATCTTGTGGTATAATTTCTTATATAAATAATAAATAAATTTATATAATTGAAATAAGACATGAAGAAATATAATATTTAAAATTGATCAAAAATATTTTTATAATTTTTTTAGTATTTTTTAAATTTATATTAAAAAAGATATTTATTACTAATTTATAAATATAAATAAAAGATTGATTAAATTAGTATAAAATAAAATTTTATAAAAATAGATTTAAAATAATTAGTTTAGACTTTATAGCTTGAAGTGGTCTTTAAAAAATACCAATCTAAAGTTGTTAAGGTATTATCTTCAAATAATATTAAGTATATTTCAGAATATAAATTAACTGTAATTGAAGAAAGTAGAAGGTAATAACTACAATCCAAGCAAGTATACTACGTGCAATTTTAAAAAAACTCTTATTCTCTTTGTTTTCATGTACCAAGGTGTTTTGTATTTTTATTTTTGTTTTTATTTTTATTTATGTCTAATTACTTTTAGTAGGTTAGATGCATAATCTTTCAAGTATTGCATTATATTGGAGAGTAAGTAGTAAAATATAGACATTATAAAAGATTTTCTAATCTAAAGGATTTTGAATTGATTTACAAACTTTTAATAGGAAAAATATATATATATATATATATATATATATATATATATATCTTTTTAGAGTGATATGGTTATTTTCAAAATAGAAGTAAATATTAAGAAGACCTTTGATTCTTATAATGGTGCTATTATAAAAGGTTAGAGAGGTGACGTATATTTGGAATATCCAAATGCTCTATTAAAAGCTAAATTGATTACTATTGGCATTATTTAATAGTTGTTATATTAAAAAAGTGTATAATTTATAACATGTGGGATGAAAGGATGGTAAAGCTAAAGATATTTTGAATTAAATAAATTCCAATATGGATTTTAATATGGAAAATTAAAAATTAATTGTGATGAAGAAATGGAATCAACATAAGAACTAGCAAAAAAAAGGATTCAAAGCAATATGAAATATTCAAATGGACTAACAACAAGGATATACAATTAAATTGTGTTGATGCAATTATATAAAGAAGAAAAGAGAATAAGTATAAAAATAAAAGACAATGAATGATACTTACAATAAATTTTTTTTTCTTTTGATGTTACATAAGGTTTTTAATAAAAAATCACAACAATTATTTCTTTTGAGTAGAATTTTTGTCTTCATAGATTAATTATCCTTTATTTGTAATATTATCTTCTTAATATAAAAAAAACTTAATTTTACATTGTATTTATTTTAGATATTATTTTTAGATTACAATTAAAATTTAAAGTACTTAATAATATCAAATTTAAAGATATTATTTAATATTTTATTGAAAAAAATTGAAGTAACAATATATAATATTAGTAAGATTGCATACAAAGAGAGTATGGAGTTAGATATCTCTTACTTCCAACATCCATTATTTATAGGTGGTGGCTATTGCCCTAATGGACAACTTCCATCTTTTGATGAATACATCCATCTAACGTTCTATCAAGACTATCCATTGATATCTTATCTACTATAAAAATATACTTTTAGCATATCCTCTATATCTTTAAGATCCATTGTCCATTCATCTATCTTATCTCTTGACCTTTTTACATACCAAGAGTTAATCTTTTGATCAATAGTAACTTACCTAACATAATATCTGTCAAAGATAAGAACATGATAAAAATAAATAAATAAGTGAGACTTCTCTCAAAGAAAGATGATAAAATAGAAATAACTTAATATGTATATTAAGAAAGAAACTGGAATGGCTATTGCCAAAAGCCAAGAAAATTAGAGACTCTTGAAACTAGATTGGAAGGAAGAAAAGAGTTGACAAGAGTGAAGAAGGCTTCACTCTTATCTCTATATATACTATCTAACTAGGGGCTACGTGGCGATGTTCTATAGGACCTCAATATGTGTTGACTTTGTAGGACACATGCCTTGACTTACAAGGCAAGTTTTTCTACGTGTGGGCCACATAGTTAGCTTGGTTTTCAAGCTAACAACATGTGTGGTACATGGCCAACTTGTTGACCACATTTCTAATCCAAAAAGTCAATTTAAGACACCTATAAAGTCAATGTAGCATCTATGAAGCTTCTAAGAAGCTTTGATAGTAAATATTATAGAATTAACTTAATTTTACTTAGTTTAACTTACTTCTATCTATTTATACATGTAATTACTAGCTTACATACGTATATCCATGACAATATCTTATACAATGTAACTTATTATACTTTCATTTTTATCTTTTTACTTTAATACTCTCACTTTATTATTGATTAAAGGCTTTCAATCCTAATGCTTTTGTCAACATATAATGTCTATCCTTTATTAATGCCTTTTGACAAGAAATGAGCAAGCATGTCTTCTATTGTATAATACTTTATATCAATTACTTTCATTTCAATTTTTTACCTTATGAAATGATGTTGAATGTCAATGTGCTTGATCTGTGAATGATATTTTGGATTCTTTGTAAATACAAGATATTCTTGATTGTCACATCTCATTGAAGTTTCTTCTATTTGTACTACTGTTATGTCCTCCAAAAGATATCTTAGCCATATTGCTTCCATTACACCATGGCTTACTGCCATATATTCCACCTCCATTCTTGACCTTATAATTATTGGTTATTTCTTGAAATTCTATGAAATTGCTTTCATTTCAACAAAAAAAACATATCCTATTATTGACCTTCTATTATTTGTATCTCCACCTTAATTTACATTAGAATAACTATACAGAGTAATGTTATTACCTTCAAGGTATAGTTTAAAATATAAAGCATCTTTTAAATACTTCATGATCTTTTTGATGGTTACTCAATGAATTGGTTTAGCCTTTGACTTGTATTGATTCACAATACTTATCACATATCCAAGATCCATCTTTGTGCCAACAATTATATATATAAATGAGTCCACTGCTACCTTATATAAAATACCTTACATTTGATCTTCAACTTTAGAAAATTCTTCATCTGTGAACTTCATCAACTTCAAATTGGCCTCCAAAGATCTACCTATAGGCTTAAACTCTTCTATATTGAATTGTTTCAACACCTCTTCAATGCACTTGCTTTGGCTCATTATAATGGTCTTTTTAGTATAATTTTTTACAAACTCTATTCTTAAACAATAATAAAGTTCTTCTAAATCACTCATCCTATATTCTTTTTTTAATTTTACCTTCAATTAATCCATTATTTTTAAATTATTGATTAAAATAATCAAATCATCAATATAAAAGATGATAATTAATATGAATTCATTTGATTGCATTATAAACATAGAATGATCAACCTTACTTCTTTGAAATTCTTCATTTACAAAGAATATATCAATATGTTGATACCATGCCTTTGGTGATTGCTTGAGAATATATAAGGATTTTTTCAACCTACAAACAAGATGCTATTTTTTTTTTAAAACATCCTTGAGGTTGGTCTATATAGATGTCTTCTTCTAACTTTATATTTAAAAAAGCCATCTTTACATCCATTTGATACATCTCCAAGTCCATTGTTGTCCCAATTATTACAATGATTTTAATAGTGGTGAATTTGGCCATAAAAGCAAATATCTTATTGAAATCAATACAAACAACTTATGAATAGCTTTTAGCAACTAATGTAGCCTTATATCTCATAATACTATATATTGTATCTTTCTTGGTTCTAAACACCCACTTATAACCAATTGAAGATTGATTTGGTAGAAGTTGAGACATTTTTTATGTTCTATTGTTTATAAGTGATTTGTATTCTTCTTCTTATGTATTCTTTTATTTCATAGCATCCAAGGACTTCATTGTATTACAAAAACTCAATGAATTAACAAAGAGTGCAACATTGGTTTATTTTTCACTTATTTAAAAAAAGATGTGGTTCTATTATCATTCACCAAGTTGTTTTCTATCTCTCAAAAGTTATTTTCTTTCACTTGATAAAGATTCATCTTCTTGTACTCCAAAGTTTCTTGCAAATTTTTTCTTTCTTAAAGCTTGTTTCTTCGCAATTAATTGTTAATATTCATCATCATCTTCAACATTTTAATTGACTTCATTGCTAGTTCTACCAATTGTAGATATGTTTTGATCTACCTTCTTTGGTTCTTTATCTTGATTTGTATTTCCACCACCTTCATTGTCATCATCTTTTTCTTCTTTCTTTGTTAGAATTAAAGATGTATCCACAAACACCATTACTCCTACTTGGATACATCTCTAAGTGCTTACAAGCATTCTTATACTCCAAAAATTCTACATCACAATTCTTGATGATTTTCTTGATTTCTAAACACATAAGCCTATATACTTTTGTATCTTCTTAATATCTAGCAACTACATATTTTGTACCTTTTGCATTAAGTTTGGACCTCATACAATTGGATACCTTTGTATAAGTAATACATCCAAAAATCCTCATCCATGAAATATAAGATTTCTTGCCACTCCAAGCTCCTTGTATAATTATTTATTTAAGTGCTCTTATAAAGCATCTATTTCTTGTATATACTACAATAACCATAGCTTTCGCTCAATATTCATGCTCTAGGTTATGAGCATGAAGCATATTCATTGATATTTCTGCAATGGTATGATTTTCTCTTTCAACAACTTTATTTTGTTGTAGAATATAAAAAATAGAGGTTAGTCTTGCAATACCTTGATTCTTCAAAAATTCATCAAAATGCTTTGATATATACTCATATCCATTATCCATAGGCAACACTTTGATCTTGCACTTACATTGCTTCTCCACAAGTGCTTTAAATTCTTTAAACCTTGAAAAGCATTTACTCTTAGATTTGAGGATGTAAATCCATACTTTACTTGAAAAATCATCAATAAATATAACAAAGTACCTTGCTACTCCAATTGATGGTATCTTTATTGGTCCACAAATATCAAAATGCACAATCTTCAATAATTTGTTAGAACATGTTATAATTCCTCTTGGAAATGAAGTCCTTTATTATTTGCCTTGGATATAATCTTTATAAGCAAGTATTATGGCATTATAGTTGAATTAACTAAGATTTAAGCTACTTACCATGGATTAGAGCTCTTTCATACTTTTGGCATTCAAATGATCAAATCGTTGATGTCAAATTCCAAACTTATCTTGATTTTGTAGAAACTCAGGAAATGTCACTACTCCTTATTACCTTCTTATTTACCTTCTTACAATTGATAAAATAGAGGTTTCTATCTCTTATGCCTTTAGTAACATGTTGTCTATTTAATGTCTTCACAAAACATCTATTCATGCCAAATTGAAACTTACAATCATGCAATAAAAGTTTGCTCATTGAAAAAAAGTTTTTCCTCATTTTTGACACATGTGAGACTTCCTTCAATCTGATCCTTTTCATTTGGTTTTTTATTACAATCTCTACCACAATGGAGCCAATTCCAATGAGTTATATCATGCCATTGTCTTCCAACTAAACATTTGTTATGATACATGTGAAAAATTGATATCATTAAGTTTTATTGCAATCATGTCAAAACCCTTTTTTTTACAATATTTTTAGTTTTTTTTTACCTTGACATTAGCATTATTGGATCTTTGAGACACTTTTATCAACAATGTCTCAAAAATCCAAAATACCTCTTTTGTAATTAAATCAATGCTTTCACTCTTTAATCACTTTTAACTCTCACAAGAATACTTTTAATCTCACAATTGCCTTCTTAGTACTATAAGAAGACATCTTAAGAAATTTAGGCCATAATAGTATAATATTAGTGCACCAATGATGTAACTTAACAAAGAAATATAATATTAGTATTCTATAACATCATTCTAAGGTAGTTGATACCTTTGAAGATAATGAATGCAGTTAACAAGTAAGAGAAAAATTACATTAACAACTAGATGCAAAAGATGGTTTAGAAGACATCAAACTTTAATATCAACAACAACTGTAAGATCTACTCTTCACAATAAGAAAGACTTCAAAGAACTTCAAAATTTAAAACTAAAGGTGTGTGGATCCATAACCTATTGAAGCAAAAGAACTTTGAAGTAAGAACACATAGCATCAACAACATTGCACACAAAAAGAGTATAAAACAAGATATCTCTCACTTCCAACATTCATTACTAATAAGTGGTGGCTGTTGCCTTAATAGATAACTTCCATCCTTTGATGAATACATCCATCTAACATTCTATGAAGACAATCCATTGATATCCAATCTACTTTAACAATATGCCTTTAGCATATTTTTTATATCCTTAAGATCCTTTATTCATTCATCTACCTTATTTCTTAGCCTTTTTATATACCAAGAGCTAATTCTTTGACCAGTAGCAACTTACCTAATATAATATCTTCTCTAATATAATTTATTCTACTTTTATTTTGATTTACTTATTTATTTTAACATAATTCTAATATAGATTTTTAATATCAACACATTATAATTTGTTTTAAGACTTTGTTTGAAGATGCCTTATTTTTTAAAAAAATTCAATTAGAAATTGATATTGTATTAAAATCAACAAAAACCAAGAATCTTCTATTTAATATCACAAAGTAATTTAATTACACAAGAATAATATTATGTACCAATTTATTTAAAATTAGAAGCATTTATTGGTATTTACACAAAAACTAGATGTATAAATGTAAATTTATTTAGTATATTATATTATATTATATTTTTTTAAATTGAGACTTTTATTTTTATAAAACTTTATATATATATATATATATATATATATATATATATACATCTAATTAAGAACTCATATTGAAGTTTTAATGTTGAAAGTCCTTGGTATGTCTTTAGGATCCTATTTAGCTTTTTGGTGTCATAAACATTTCTTAAAGAGAAGTAGAAAACTTTCATTTTTAACAAACATACTTAATATTAATAAGAATGTTTGTTAATATTATGTTTTCTTCTTTAGAATAAGTTTTAAACTATATATTCTAAGAAAATTCCAAGTTGTAAAGACATGATTAGATAGTTTAATTGTTCACCATAACATTGCAACTTCAAGCTTTGTATACTTTAAACCTACTTGCTTAAAAATGTATGATTAAACAAAAGAAACATAGATTTGTAGAATTCATTAGAGATAATTTCAGTTAATGTTTAAGGAGAAAACATTCACTTTGGCAAATATGAATTAATCAATCAATTATTTAATCCAATAATGATCTTTACAAATTTGATACTTTTAAATTGTGATTACAATACTTCTTGAAAATAAAACACACATGGATACTCCTTCAAATATTCCACAGAAGCAACAAAAAATAACAATAAATCTGAACTACAGTGCTAGTCAACAAATGGATTGATAAGAAAATATGAGGTACATCCGTCTTTGAGAAAAGCAGGTTGGCAACGTATGTTTCGATTCACAGATTGGAAGTGCTTGCCCAATTCCTGATAGAAGGCCGTGACAAAATCTCAGCGAAGGGCTTCAATTTCACATCTGAATAACGGTGAAGCTAGCACTAGTTGCATGAGAAGGGCTTGCTGAACCCTTTCAAATCTCAAGTAGTATCAACAACTTCCAGCTTCAAGAGAACGTCCTTACTGGCGCATTTGCTTCTCAAAGCTGTGAAGAAACTCTGTCATTTCTATTTTTATCTGCTGCTCGAAGGTTAGGGCAGCTTCATGCTGTTGCTTTTGAAACTGTACACGCCGCTCATGGTGCTTTTGTTCCAGTTCCTTGAGCTTGTTTTCAAAGTCTTCAGCCTCCAGCAAACTACCTTCCACTTTCTTTGTCATTTGTAAAATTTCATTGGCCATCCTGCACAATAAAACCAGGTTCTCAACCATATGCCAATCATCACCAGATATACTTTTCAAATACTGCCTATAAGGTAAAGTCCACTAAATTCGGCGAGTTTTGACAGGTTGTAAATGATTAACTGTGCAGGATAGTAACGGAGACATCGGTAAAGTAATGGCTTAATATGACAAGATTTGACAAGCAATCTTAAACTAATATAACGATGATAGAAGTACAAGGAAAGCCAGAATCTTACGCTGGATCCTGGTCGATGTTGGGAAGATTAGAACGTAGAACATTCAGTTCATGAGATTGGTTCAAGGCAATCTTGTGAAGGTCGTCTCTCAGCTTTTGCAACTCACTATCCTTGGCAGCAACCTCATTTGCCCATTGAGCACTTTCTTGTTGAAAGAACTCCTCCATGTCAGCTAGCTGTGTCAATATAAACAATATGGATTATGATCCGTAAACATCTCGATATACTCTCTGTAAATCTTACACCTGCTCATCATAAATCACAAATAAAGATATCCCTACAACCTTAATAGCCGCCAAAACTTTTCACTAAATCATCACCTCACGCTTGTTCTCTGCATGCTGCTTCCCTTGCCGGTCCCACAAAATTTGCAGCTCTTCCTCACGGAGCTGTAAGTTTTTCGATGTCTCAGATACAGACTTCTTAAGAGTGTTTTGTTCGATCTGAAGTGATTGTATCAGTTGATTCTGCTGTTCCATGCGCTGCATTGGTTCCAGTACCACTTGCTGGAGCTTCCTCAACTCATACTTCAACAGCGTCTTCCCTGTTCATCAATGTATGATCCAATAAACACTAATCAACAGTTATAAACTAACCAAACAAAGACTATTATCCTACAAGATTAGCAGAGTTGTCAATTTAACAAAGGAGATGAATCAAGTACCTCTGCTGTGTCTGTTGAAGATATCCAGGTCGTCTTTAATTGCTAAGTACCCATACAAAATCCGCTCGCCTCCTGGTTTAAACAGGATCTTACCGGGACGTTGCCAGTCATCTCTACCTCTCCGTGAATTCGCAAAATGAGTAGCAAGACGCACTGCATCATGGTAACCAATAGGTGAATCCGGGAAGATGAGCAGGCTCATACCACGGTGACCCTGGGGTCCATACGCATGGCGGGGCTTCAGCGGATTGTAGTCCTTGAACATGTCTACAAGCTCCTTGTTTCCCATTCCAATCCACTGTATCAAGCGCAAATAAACTCACCACATGTCAATCAATTCCTTTACATCCCTCTGTTCTCTATCACCTTCTATGCTTTATCATTCTCTTGTATTTGTTAACAAGCAAGGCTAACTTGACTGATTCAGTACGCACCTTTCCTTCGTCGTCTTGCTCCAGCTGAGTATTCTGGATGACCAGAATCGGAGGCCATATTATCATTTTCTGTTGCGACTCAGTATCCTCGCTAAGTCCATTCCATTTCCCAAACGTGCTCTGCAATTCAACGTTCGGTTGTGCCGATCGCCGAATGCGTAGCTCCTCCTCCAAAATCTCTGCGAATTTGCGGTGGAGCTTGACTCGCCTGGATCTCATGGTGCGTGCATGGGTAGCGAGAGGAACCAGGCCTCGGAACCAGTCGATCGCACCGGGACCGCCCTTGCAAGCAGGACAATGCCATTGCCGGTCATGCTCGTTGAGCTGGGCGTCTGTCATGCTGTCAAGGTCCTGAAAGAAGTCGCGGAACCACTTGATCTTCTTCTGGTCCTCATGGCTCTCCTGTGCAAAAGAATCATCACTGAAGAAACCATCGTCACTATCGTCCTCTACATGATCCAAGTCAGAGCACTGGCTATCCGAGTAAGGACTGGCTGGATACTCCAACGCTAAGTCGGTCCCAGTGTCACCTTGCTGATAAAGATTACCTGCCAAACAGGAAAAAGCCACAGAAAATAGGCTATTACGTACTAACTGAGCTCATGGGCGACACAGATGACCAGCTATTTACAAAAAGAATATTCAGCTAATAAGCCAGCAGAAAGCTGTCAACTGACAACACAATCAGAAGAACCCAGTTTCAAAACTGGCAACTTTAACTACACAAAACCAGCTCATCATCAGAGCAGTAAGGCTACTCACTTGATGACCCAGAAACGAGTTGTGTCGATGCCTTGGCCCCCTGATGCCAGGCTTTATTGGTGATGCCTGGAGCCCCACTTCGAGAAGAGCTTTCTGAACCATTCCTACTCTTACTACTAACCTGCTGCCAACCATTTTCAGGACTCAAAAGCGGCCCTTGACCATCCCACCCTCCTCTTCCACCGTAATCCGCATTCGGCGCTGCCTCGTACTGCCTGAAGTTATTATGCTGACCCCAACCACCTTGAGGTTTGTTGGATGCACCTCTTTCTCCATTGAATTCACCTCTTCCTCCGTTGAATTTACCTCTTCCTCCTCGTCCTTCTCCTCGACGCCCTCTTCCTCCTCTTCCTCCTCTACCTGCTTCACCCTGTCCAGGGCTCCTCTCAGAGCCGCCGTTGTTCCTGTTCGATCCTTGTCTTCCTCCACCTCTTCCAGACTGAGGGGAACCAGAGTCTTGCCTATTCATTGAGTTTCCCTTACGTGACCTCGCTTTAGAAGACGAGCCTGATCTGTTAGATGCGTTATCATAAAGGCTTTTTCCGTTCTTGTCTCCATAGGAACTGTTGTACGCGGGTTGGAACTGCCAGCCATCAACTGGGTCGTCCCATCCGTTGGTTACGTGAGATGGTCCTGCAAAGTGGACTATAATCAGAATGATTGCGGTGGATAGCACCAAATATTATCCTATTTCGTCCATTTGTTTCAACACACTTATTTCTGACTCGAAGTGCAAATGCCCTGAATATATCCAATACCAGAGTTCATCGTCCAGTTCGAATCCGCACCATAATTTCCACCATCTGAAGGAAAGACCACAGCGATTTAGGTAGACATACACGAAAACAGAGTGACCGATTAATCACTGCAACAGTTTCGACGACATTACTCCAACAGACATCCCAAAGGTTATGGAATTCTCAAGATCTTCTATAACTACAACACCAAGAGCTCATGTTTCGTAACCCATCACAATTTTAACATCCATGTCCAGATTCATAATGAAGTACTTAAGTGATGGCTTCGTCCTATACGAGACGCTTCTCTAAAGACGAAAGCTGCAACAACCAAAACCTCTGTGCGGTAATGTATGCCCTAGAGCTGTAAAGACTGGCGGTAGAGCTCTCATCCATCTCTCAGCTCACAAGTACCCCAAACAGAAAATGAAGAAACACCTTGAAACAGAATGAAGAGCACAGTTTAACTTTGTATCCATACAGGCAAATCCACCAACAGTTTTGAACAGTGCAAAATTAGACGTGATCAGGATTCCTTTCTCTCCGTCAATTTAAAATAAATTAATTAACAAAAAAAAAAAAAAAAAAAAAACCATTGGTTATTAGGGATCAAATCTTACTTCCGGTTGACGCAGAACCACTAGCACCTGCCATTGTGGGCGCTCTTTGTTCACTTCCACTGCCTGTTCATACAAAAGATATGAGACTCTAAGCAACACTCAGAAGAGTTTTGTCCATTCAACCCTAACATGAGTCACCTACGGGACACAGGCTAGCAATTAACCCTTGCATGTGAAGTACTTCAAAGGGAAAATGATCGCAACGTACTAACCTCGAAACAGTTGGAGAAGTATATATAAAAAGAAAAAAAGTGCCAAATTTGGTTGTCAGAATAGAAGCTTTAAAGTGCGAGCACAATGAAATTGTGTCTCGATCACTGCGACGATGAGTATTGAAAAGAGAAGCTTGAATATTGCGGGAGAAGATCAAGAGTACTGGCACAACGCGCGGATCAAAGACCAACCGGGTCACACATTAAGTAGGTGAGAATTGGGGACACGCTGTACTAATGGCCGGCCCCTGCACACAGTGACAAACGCTGGAGAGGACGACAGCATTGCTTTGACAGAGTTCGAGAGAGAGCACAAGCTGGGAGACCAACAGAGGCACCTCAACTTGGAAGAAGAAATAGGGTGATCGGAACTTGGAAGATGTGTGCAGAAACTGTTGGGGGGGGGGGGGGGCACTAATTGGTAACTGGCGGTACTGTAGTGCCGACCAAGTGGAGGTAATCGAAGAACCAAGGTAAAGATTCCTATTGTGATGCAAAGGCAATGGGGATTACACGACGAAACCTTGAGACAACAAAGTGATCTACTTCAAAAGATTCCAATACCGATCAAAAGGTTCTCCAAAAACAAATGGTGGTTCAAAACAGCTGCCCAAAAACCCCAGAGCACCGTGGGCAGAAAATAAGCTCCATTTACAAAGGATCGCGGAGACTGTAAAGAGAGAGTATCTTGCAAACTGTAACACCACCCACTAAAACAACCTCACGTCCATTGCCGCTACTCACGAGAAAGAAGAAGACTCTACCAGACAGATGCCACCATCACCGCAATGTAACACAAAACTATCTGCCACACGGAAACGAACACTCAAGGCCACTCGATCCGAATCACGAAGGCAAACGAACACGCAGACCACCTTTTCCGCAGCTCACTAATCTCTCACCAACACCAAAGCGTTTGCCTTTCAACACATCCCCACGAAAACCCTTGCTCCCTCGCCACTCCCCCAACCCCCGTCCCCGGCGCGTGATTACGATAAAAATCTAGCGGAGGACCGACACCTTTGCAGTCGGACAGAGACAAACAGCCGCCTAAGATACCGCCAACCTAGAGGAGGGAAGCAGGGAGGGAGGGAGAAGACGCTCAAATAGTCAGTCAATCAGTCAGTCATCCGGATCCTCGTTCCACACTAACTAGGTTAAGCCCAGGATTTGTGTCATCCCAGGCTTGCTTGCTTGCCTGCTTGCCTTCCTTGGGATTCCCATGCGACGGACGCAGAGCTTGCAAGCGAGATGCTCGTGCCTGGATGTGGGCGATGACGATCGACGGATCCTCCCTCTCTCGTGGCGATCCGTCGCGTCGAACGAAAACGGGTCCCGTGAGATTGATGGTGGCCTTTGACTAGAACCCCCCCCTCCTAACGACGACGGAACGACGACGACGACGAACGGTCAAACCCTTAGATGCTATCTGGACACGTGGCATGGTTTTTTTGGTGGTAGTTTCCCAGGTGGCAACTGCGTAGTGGTGAGGGCACCCCCGTCCCATCCTGAGTTGGGTTTAGTGAGAGTAAATAGTTCTATTTGTGGTTCAATTTAAACTGGTGTCCATGTCATGGTATCACTTTTGAAGCTTTCCAATTTTCAGGCATGTGATATTGATGCTGGTCTCGAATTTAGACTGTAGGTGGTGTTTGGGGATGGCCAAGTTATCCCCTTGAACTTCCACATGAACTGTGGATTTTTTATTTTTAATTTATAAAAGTAAATGTGTTTTATATAAAGAAATATGACACAGCTCAATCTGGGTCCCATTCACTGGTTGGCAGATGAATGTGTGGGGGATAGGTGCCGTCCAGGAGAGAATAATCCTCCTGAACAAAAAAAAATGTCTTGAGAACACCAGGTGTCCTCAAAGGCAAGAATGATTTTTGCCTTTTTGGTTTCACCACATGTATGTATATATATATATATATATATATATAAATGACTCAGAATGTGGTTTCTATTAGCTATGCCAGCAAAGATGGTTTCCTTCTTGGCTAGATGACATATACAATAAGCATTGATGTGTTCTTATGAGAACACCAAGCAGCATTTAGCACACCAGAGGTGCCATAAGATGGCTGCTCATAACCCTTAGGTGCAAAGGGCCTGGTGTTGAGGTGATATGCCCTTGTGGGGTGTTAGGTTTTTGGGGGTATACAGGTAATTAACTCTCTCCATGCTTGAATTGGGGGGGCAATGGAGTGTCCTCTAAGCTCAGTCATATGCCTTCCAAACTCACCATGCAAATTTGCATCCTCTAAGTCAATGCTCAAGGATTTCTTTGATCACCTGTTGAAGCAAATGCAAGTAGCAGGAGATCCCATTACCTTGCACCAACTTCTTGTAGGCAGTCCTCCTGAGTTGATTTGCCATAAGAATGTCTGCAACCTGCCTGGCTTATTTTTATCTCATATCAAAGTGATAAATCTAGTTGTCTCCCCTTGAGACAACTCAAGCTTTTGTTGTTTAATTTGCATGGAAGTAGCTTATGGTTTAATTGCTAAGGCAATCATGTAGCCTTTGCAGGTTGATTAGTTTAAAAAAACTGTGGTATGAAGAGGAGTCAGTGGAGTCCATTGCTATTCAAGGAGATTGAAGGTCGAGTCTTGGACCAACCCAAATAACCAGATGCGGCTAAAATATTTCTTTGGTGGATTAATTGTTGTCATTTTAAGATTTCCATTTGTTGTGGTAACTCTTGTAGAGCGTAATTCCAACCATGTGATGTCCTACAAAGGTCTGGAATGCTTGTAAAAGAAATTTGGATGGAGTTGAATGTATTTGGCGCCTATGTGTTGCCCATTAAGCTGATATAAATTTTGAAAAAGCCTAATAGGTGTCTTTGAGGCCACCTATTTATACTCGAGAAAAATAAGGGATTGGATCATATTCCAATGGCACAAGATTAAGTCTAAAAGACCAAGCTTCTTTTGGCAATAGCCATTCTAGTTTCTTTTTAATATACATACTACTTTATTACTATTTTGTCGTTTTTTTTTTAATATAGATTTTTTAGGTTTATGCATCTTCTTTTAATTCATGTCTTTGACTCCAATGAGGCTTGTATTTATAGTTCATGATCAAGTAGCTTTAGTCTTCTCAATTTTTAGAAGAGGATTAATGACATCTATGCAACTTTAGCTTTGTAAGCTTGTTTTTTAAACTTTCTTCAACAAATGTACTTTTGAAGTAAGGTTTGCACCTTGTTGATAGAATGTAGGTGTAGAGTCTAATTAGAATCTACATATCAAATTCAAACTAGCAAAACCTATTTGGCAATCAACACTCAACTTATTAGAAAAAAATTTATTATTTCCTGATAAGCAAGTTTTTGCTTCAATATCTTCAAAGCTGCCTCAAATTGGATTTTTGCTAGAATCCTTAACTCCACTTAGAGACCTACATAATAAGAGTTTTTCCAAAAGCAAGCCACATAAAATTTACTTTATTCCAACAAAATGACATTAAATTATTTGAAATTCAAATAACGTGAGATTTATTCTAAGTAATTTAAATTCTTCCTATTAATAAGAAAATATCAAGTATAATCTTGATTTTGTTAAGATTATCTAAATTTCTATTATCTACAAATTTCTAATCTATGATTTTAGAACATCTAAGAAGAAAGAATTCTTTTATATCTAAGTCACTTTTTAGACTATAACTTTGACAATCTGCTATGAACAAGTAAAAAAAAAAATGAAAAAAAAAAAAACCTTATCTAATAAATCAAATAAATTTAAAAGATTGGCTAATAACTATATTGAGCCTTATAAAGTGCTAAGAGTCAATATAGAAAGATTTGGTCTAAAAGAACCACTAGAAATCAAATCCCATTTTTAATCTAGTTTCTTTTAGAAAGTATTATTCTATTCTAATATATGTCTTTTTAAAATCTAGTAAAAATATAACTAAAAGTTGACAAGATTTAATAGCCTAGTCCATTATTTCAAAGACTAAGAAAATATTATCAATAATACTTCTATATTTTAAGAAGCATGTTGGGTTAGTTAAATAATATGATAGATATAAGACTTTAATGCTTTATAGTATCCATTTTCATAACTAGATATTATCACCTTTGTGGTATATTACTTCTCATTGCTTTGTTGGATGGGAGGTGTTGTTTTAATCTTTTATACTTTCAACAAAAATTCCTTCATTCCATCCTCAAATTAAGACTATTTGACTAAAAAGTATAACAATTTTTATGTTTTTGCCTTCATATTTATTTTTAGAAGTTCTTGAATGGCCTTGTTATGGACTTTGTAGAAAAAAAGATTTATCAAGTTATATTGCAATAATTTTTTTAACAAAGATGAAAGTAGAGTAGAGATATTATACATATTTTTTTGCAACTTTGATTCGTCTAGTATTGCCTTGTTAGCAAAATAATTTGATCTGAGCTAGTGCTTGGATAAGCCATATTAGCCATTTCTAATCTCTTTAGGCAAATGAAGGTTTTTTAAGCAAATTCTCTTGAAATGAATTAAAAAATGTCAAATCTTTTAGAGAAGAATTATTAAATTAAAATTTTTTAATTTTTGTATGGTGGTCGTTGAGCTTAGAGAGTATGATCAAGAGTAAGAGATGGTCCAAGAGAGTTTCATATCCACCTAAAATTTAGACTTAGCCTCTCCTTGCCTTGACCCTATCACTTGTATAAATACAATTTAGTTAAACTAAAACAAGTATATGGTCCTTTTATTTACTAAATTATGAGAATAATAATAAAATTGGATATTTAAAGTCATTTAAAAGCTAAGTATCCATAAAACTAAGCTTGAATATTAAAGTGTCTTAAGCTTCATATTTGTCTATTGTAAGTTTTTTTTTTTTATTTTCTTACTTCTATCCTAAGGATATTCAATCATATTAAAATTACGACTAATCAATCACAAATCACCTTCTATGATACTATTATTGATTTTTTTTAAAAAAAACTTATCTCTCTCCAATTCTTATTAGAAGAATACAAGTTTAAAAAGCCTATAATTTTTTTATCTAGTGTACAAGTGATCCATTGTGCTCGACCATATATCAATATGCCAAAATTAATTATAGAGTATTGGAAGGTGTTAGGGATATAGTCTTTAGAACCTTCTAGAGACAAGTTTCTAGAACCTTCTAGAAACAAGTCTTTGGAACCTTCTAAAAGATTCTTAGTTGATAGAAGATATTAGGGATATAGTCCTTAGAACCTTCTAGAAGCAAGTCTCTGGAACCTTCTAAAAGCAAGTCTCTGGAACCTTCTAGAAGCTTCCTAGTTGGTAGAAGTTGCTTGAGAAGCTTCCTAAATAGGAGTATATATTGGAATCGATGATGAAGAGTTCTTCAGTTTCAACAACACATCTCTTGGAGCTCTAGCTCACCTCTCTGGTGTTGTTCTTGTATTCATCTAATTAATCTACTTCTTGCCAGTTCTTCTTGAACTTCTTCTTAGATCTCGCGGCTGTATTTCTATGTCCGTGATAGTTTGTCGAGACTTCACTCACCTCAAATATTAGAGCTAGTTTCTTCCTCGTTAGAGTGTGGATTACCCCTCTGCTTGGAAGTGTACTAGCATTTTAGAGGCTATGGATTATCCTTCTCTAAACTTATACTTCTTTTGTTATAATATTGGAGTCTTATTCTTCTTGGAGAGAGTGGATTATCCCTTTTCTTGAAGCTCTTAAGGCATTTTAGAGGTTGCGGAGTACCCTCCTCTAAACCAATATTGTCTTCTTGTAGTCATTTCTGTCCTTCTCTTAGAATGGCCGAGGGCCAAGACATCAGTATGACAAAAAGTTCGGAGTCCAAGTTGGATACTATCATGAATGCCCTCGCTACGTTATCGCAAAGAACTGCAGAGATTGAAGGAGTCGTGGCAAGGCTTCATAATGATGGAGCATCTGGGATGGCACAATCTAGGTTGCACCAACCTCAAACTTTTGTACTTGGAGAAACAACTTTGCCTCAGGTTCGACAAGCACCGTTGGTTCTATAACGTAAGGAGCTCCGAGTTAGCCTTCCGGATAAGTTCGATGGTACGTGTTCCAAGTTTCGAGGATTCGTCAATCAAATCAGGTTAATAATAGTTTTACAGCCCGAACACTATTCAACAGAGGAATCACATGTTGGACTGGTTGGAACCTTACTTACAGGGCAAGTTCTATCATGATTTTCTCCTTTGTTT